GTGTAGCTATTTAAACTGGTGTAAGGGAGATATTGATACCGATTTCTATCGCGCAAGCGTTTCTTTCAAGATCAAATTGTTATAGAAAAACCTTTAACACTGGGTGATTCAGAATACCGGGCATGCTATGGCTATGGGAGATGAATCAGATGTTTACAGACCTCTGCGAAGGTCAAGTTATCCTAGTGATTAATTTTACATACCATTGCCACTTTTTGAAAATTTGTTGCGTAGAGCAGTAGAAGATCTCTTAACTTGTTTTTGGGCTATATACATCAGTAGGATTCCGGATTTTCAATTCATAACACAAGTGCCATCGTGGTAACTAATTGAAAAGTCCTTCCAAACTGCCATCTAGAGTATGGCATATGTAGGGTATCCCTGAATTGCTTCACTAATCACTATAAGAAACCTCTGGCTGTCATGCCATGCTACATGAATTTACTTATATTTTTTGAAAAAAAAAACATTGATAAAAGTTAATATACATATATCAATTTTGGAATCCCACGTGAATCAAACTATTTTACTATATTTTGTTTGTAGCTCTTGCTCATGTATATAAGCCTCCTAATACTCTTGAGGTATTCTCTATCGTACTCTGCAACTGCAATCACAATAAGAGCTCTTGCTCATGCTACAATATATAGCTTGAGGAACCAGAGCTAGGAAGAGCTCTCCCAACCGGGACCTTAATTTACAACAAAGAAGAGCATGGCCTGACAAATCTTGCTTATTTATGGAGCACGAACATTTATCCAATCGTCATCAGTGATTTGCTTTGATACTGGGATGCGAGACATAATCACACGTAAGTCTGCTTAACAAATGTTGGATGTTGTGTCTATTATTTTGTTGTCTAGGACTAGGAGTACGTACATGTTCTGATATTCACCACCAGCCCTCAGCAACACGTACGACGTACCCGATTGGAGGGAAGGTTCAGACAGCAACTAGCCGAAGATTTTCATGGCTGACAGCCGTGCCTCCATGTCGACCTCGTAAGGGAAGCCTTCCTTCTTGTCAACTCTGCGCATCTCCTCCGTGCCGACGTCGAGGAGGAGGAGCCCCTTTTCACCCTTGTCATCCAGGAAATCCCAGCTCATGAAGGGCCGTAGCAAGACTGCTCCGCTCCTCAACCCCGCTGATCTCACGAAGTCCACCTTGCTAGGTCACTCAGACTGCAGCAGCTTGGGCGACATGGACCGAACGATGGCCTCCGTGTCGATCACAGACTGCCGTGCCCAATCGGTGCTGCCGGACAGCAGCCAGATCGATATGGTGAACCTGTCGGCGACGAGCAAGCACAGCCTCCCGTCCGGCGACGACGTCACGTGGAGATCAGACTCTTCGCAGCGGTCCGGCAGGCAGGCTTTGGGGACCTCAATCGACCCTGTCGTCGTCGCCGCGCGCGTGCCATGTCGAGGGACATCGTAGGTGAGGATGTAAATGTTCGGGGGGCTCGCATAGCCTATGCACATTAGCCAGTGGATCAAGCCGTCGAGGACGACGGCACAGCTGTGTGGCTGGGCATTGACATAGCCCCGGTAATAGCCACGATGACGATCAGGTTCGGCCACGCTGATGACCGGCCCCCAACTCCATATGCCGGACGACGGCAAGACCTGGATGCAGGAAAAGCTCGAATCCGTGTCGAGGAGAAAGAAGGAGCAGCCGATGCCGTCCGCAGCGGTGAGCAGGACGTACGTGCAAACCCCATACCGGCAAATGTCCAGCGGACGCGAGAGGTACGCCCGTTTGCCGGTCATGGGGTCGTACACGCAGATGGCCGACGACCCGCGGCGGAGCACGGCGAGGCCGTTCCGCGACGTCTGGGGCATGTATCGTCTACTGAGGTCGGCGGCGGCTCTGCGGGACAGGAACGGCGCCAGGTGGTCCTCGGAGAAGGACGTCGCGGCGGGCGTCGCCGGGTGCACCAGGGAGAAGCAGGACGTCCTCTTCTCCCCCGCGTTGTTGTGGACGCGGAGGTAGCCGACGAGGAACGGGGGCACGATGCCGCCGTTTGGTCCGTGCTGGCAGACGCGGCGGATGAAGGCCGGGCTGAGGATGTCGCGGCGGAGCAGACGACCGTGACGACGTCCGACCGCGCAACTATCTCGAGGACAAGGTCATAAGGAAGCGTGCACGCCGGCGTCGTTGTTTCCGGCGGCGGCAACAGTCGGCCTGTGCGTGACGGCGCCATGGCCCGTCGCGTCTTGCGTGCAATAAGATGAATCTATGCAAATGAGCAAATCTGATGAGGGTATGTCATCTGATGGCTGAAACTTGGTCTTTACGTTATTATATACTCCGATATGATCATATAAATCGTGGGCTCGATCATGGAAAAAGCTAGGAGGAATCCTATTATGACAATGTTGCACATGGGAGCTACGTTTCCTCATATGTTGCACGTAAAAAGTTAGCAATTATATAAGCTTCCATATATATGACGTCAATCTAAGTTGTCGTGACACCTTCTTGCCAAAAAGAAAGGACCTCATCTCTTAGTTTATATTGTGACTTTTCCCTATTTCCGTTTAGACCTTGTTTAGATGTAGTCAGATTCGCATCAATCCATATGTGTTGAGGTGGATCGGAGTGGAACTTAAAGTAAATTCCTTACCAATCCACTCCAACACACGTGGATTGAGGTAAATTAGACAGCATCCAAACAAGGTCTTAGAGGGTTGTGCCTTGGGCACCTTTTGAACTCTAGATTGTAGACTGATTTCTCCAGCACACTAAATTTGTTTTCTATATAAAACAGGATCAATGGTCTTTGGTTTAAAAAAAGTTTATTTACGTAATAAGACTACGAGCATATGTTGGAAACACACAACACTCATCCCCCAAACAAAAAAAAGATACTTATATCGCATCATCTCCTCTTCATTTGGTTCATATTTTGGAGCAAAAAAATGCAATACCAATCCTTATATTTGGCTTGGAGTGCTATCTAGATCTTCAAACTTTAAAATTGCACATCTAGATTCTTAAACTTACAGACCCTATCACGTGAGGTTCAAGTCACCATCATTTGAGTTAATCTGCCCGCACAACACGTTGATTGCACGATGACATGGCATTTGATATGTGGATGGGGCCCACATGTTGGAAGAGGAGTGGAGATGTGATTGGTATGTACTCCATCCGTTTCATTGAAAGTGTCGTTTTTTACTTCTACACTTCATGTTTGACCGTTCGTCTTATTCAAAAGTTTTATGCAAATAATAAAATAAATAAACCATTATTAAAGTATCTCTAATGATAAAATAAGTCATAACAAAATAAATAAATAATATATATATATATATATATATATATATATACACTAAAATTTTGAACAAGACAAACGGTAAAAAAAGTCTAAAAGTAAAAAATGACACTTTCAATGGGACGGAGGGAGTAGGCCCCACATGTCTGTGCAATTGTCATGTCTAATCAACATGCTAGATAGGTAGATTAACTCAACTTATGGTGATTTAGATCTCCTATCACATGATTAGTAACTTTAAGGACTGGATGCCAGGCCAAGTTCGAGGGTTGACGTACATTTTACTCGATAATTTGTATTTCCATCAATCACCTTCTGTGACCGTTGGTGGATTGGTGAACACCTGCCTACGATGCCTATCTTGATCCACATCATACCATTCTCGATTGAAACCTTATCAGACAGATCTAGCCAGTGGCTAGAGGACAGAGCCAGAGCTACGTACCAATCATATTCTCACATCTTCACTGTTCTCTTTCCGAACTGTCGTGATGTGACTGATGTCCATCAATTTCGGCAGGGGCTAATCGATCTTTTTTTTTTGTTGATAAAGAATCGATCTATTTGTTACTACGTGCTTGAATTATATGGTGGCAAGCTCAGTTCAACCGACACCATCGATTCAAGCGACACCAACCTCGAAACCAATTTGACCCAACAAAAAACCAAACCATAAAAACCGATTCCGGCCAACCATTACCAGGTTTAATGGTCACGAGTTCTATTTAGAGGTTGTTTGATTCTGGCCTTTAGACGCCTAACCACGGGTGTAGTAGCGCAACACATAGCCTGTTCGCTTACTTTTTTAGCGAAGGAACATTGTTTTTCTCTCACAACAAATCAGCGAACAGTACTTTCAGCTTGTCTTTATAGCGTGAGATATTAGGCAACCACACTTACTTCACAGCAAAAGCTTATAAATCCCGCACTTTGTGGCGCCAAATTCAACGCCATAAACTTTGGTGCGGTCGTATTTGGGGGTGTGGCAACTCATGGATGGCATCAATCATGCCATTAGTTACCATTATAAAATATCTTGCTCGCCCGTGTGGTTGTGGCGGCTTGCCCACTCGCCTCCCTAGCAAATGCGGCGGAATCCACGGGGTTGCTAATGAAGAAGAAGATGATTTTTTAAATAACCTCTTAGGAAGTTTATAAATATTTATGTAATTTATGTGTCTAGGCGATTTTATTTATAACCCATGCTAATCTTTTATTTTAAGCATTCAAGTCTTATCATTGCGCGAGGACACGAGTCCATTTCCGTTTAGATAAATATGAGACCGAGACCAAGTTTAAAAACTGGGACAACACAATTTGTAAGTCCAGTGGCGGAGGTGACACCTCCCACAAGTTTGACGACAAGCCCTGTGAACTCTACTCTCTGGTCTATTTGGAAAAGAGGTGTTGGGCTCCTCATGGGTGGAGGAGAAGTTGGGCTCTTGTTACAAAGGCCTTAACGTGGGCCTCAGATAGTCCTCTCTTCTTTAGCTTGTAGCCCACTCGACCTGACCCCGACCGATAAACCCTTTTTCCCGTCGCTTCGGCCCCCTTCCACCCCTCTTTACTGCAGCCGCTCTTCCCCACCATTGTCCCCTTCGCTCAATTTCTCTCCCACTCGTCCACCCCTGCGCCTGCTCCCGCCATTTCGCCCCCCGCTCACCAACCCAAACCCCCCTCCGCTCCCAAACCCTAACCCTAGTCCGCGCCCGGCGGACCGACGATGCCGAAGGCCGGCGGCGGGGCGGCGGACGAGGAGGACTTCCGCGCCGAGGTGGAGGAGCGCCTCATCAACGAGGAGTACAAGATCTGGAAGAAGAACACGCCCTTCCTCTACGACCTCGTCATCACCCACGCGCTTGAATGGCCCTCCTCACCGTGCAGTGGCTCCCCGACCGCACCGAGCCGCCGGGAAGGACCATTCCGTCCAGAAGATGATCCTCGGCACGCACACCTCCGACAACGAGCCCAACTACCTCATGCTCGCGCAGGTCCAGCTGCCCTCGACGACGCCGAGGCCGACGCGCGCCACTATGACGATGACCACGCCGACATCGGGGGTTCGGCGCCGCCTCTGGCAAGGTGGACTTTCTTCCCCACCCTTCCCATAAACTCTCCTTTGCGTATTACTCGATCTCTGGCGTGAACTGATACTATTGAGTGATGCCCCGTGCCATGCCGTGGTGAAATTTAGTTCCGTCTTGATCCGCGTGTTCGCTCCTATGTGGGGGCGGGTACCTGCAAATTTGTATAACAAAACAGGAGGGATTTGTGTCGATTTTCTCTGTAATTGCTCCCTTAGGCTTCAGCTAAGGATGCTCGCTACAGCACACAATTAGATAACTTATTTCTTGCGACCATGATGCTTGGTGGGATCTAGGAGTCATTGCAGTTGCCGGGTTCGAACGTTGCCTTAATTATGATCTCGGTCCATCTATTTGGCATGTTGTTTTCGATGGTAGAGTTGTGTGTCAAGGAACTTTCTATAGTTTGCTTTGTAAATAAACACGTGAGTGTTGATTAGTGTTCTTTGTACAAGTGGAGTGGACCATTTCCGTTTAAAGGTTAAAAGGTCTTTTGTTGTTACATGTGAAACTGGTGCTATGGTGGATTCGTGTAATGATTGGCATTTTATCATATATACTAGTTGCTTATTATTTATTGTTCCTTGTTACTACAATGTGCTGAACTATGTCCTACAAAAGTACTGAATATGGCTTTAGTTGATTTAGCATCTTAATTTGGCAATTTAGTGGTGGCATCTCCAGTTAAGGATCATATTGTTCCTCTTCTTTCTTGAGAACAACTGGTGAAGTGGGGACAAGCTATCCCCATTTTCCTTTCTTGTGGAAAGCTCAGCTTTAGGAAGTTTTTCCTGTGCAAATTAACCTTTAGCCTTCCAGATAGCTGTGTTTTTATGTGAATACAGGAGCCTAGTTTTTCGCTCCCTCTTTTGAAGCCAGGATTTTATTTCTTATACATGTTCAAGATGAAGTCTTGAACCTTGGACTTGCACAGTTTATCCTCTCCTTTTTTTTTTTTGCATTTTATTGTTGAGTTGTGCATGTTTGGGTATGGTTGATATATTTTTCTATAATTGCAACTTCCAATATGGAGGCTGCATTTTTTTCTTCTGGGTGACCTATCCACCTCCACCACCACCCCTCAAAATAAATCCCATTTTATGCCAATATTTGGATTTTGCTATGTATAATGCTCAAAGAGTAATTGTGCAATTAAGCTGCTGAGCTGGCATCTGTTTGTTTGGCTGCCTATTCATTCTGGGGTTTGGGCCTATAAAGCATAACCCAACTCAATCGCAGCCATATCCATATGTAAGCCCAATGATTGAAGGAACCTATTAAGCCTTCTAAACCTACTTCTTTAGCTTGTAGCCCACCCGACCTGACCCCTACCGATAAACCCTTTTATCCCATCGCTTCGGCCCCATTCCACCTCTTTACTGCAGCCGGCCTTCCCCACCATTGTCCCCTTCGCTCAATTTCTCTCTCACTTGCCCACCCCTGTGCCTCCTCCTGCCATTTCGCCCCCGGCTCACCAACCCAAACCCCATCCGCTCCCAAACCCTAACTCTAGCCAAGGCTCAAGGACCGACGATGCCAAGGTCGGTGGGGGCGGCGGACGAGGAGTTCCCACCGAGGGGAGGCGCGCTCATCAACGAGGAGTACAAGATCTGGAAGAATAACACACCCTTCCTCTACGACCTCGTCATCACCCACAGCCGCTTGAATGGCCCTCCTCATCTTTGTGGCTCCCCGACCGCATCGAGCCGCCGGGGAAGGACCACTCCATCCAGAAGATGATCCTCGGCACGCACACCTGCGACAACGAGCCCAACTACCTCATGCTCGCAAGCAAGTCCAGCTGCCCCTCGACGACGCCGAGGCCGACGAAGCGCCACTACGACGATGACCACACCGACATCGGGGTTTGGCGCCGCCTCCGGCAGGTGGACTTTCTTCCCCTCCTTCCCATAAACTCTCCCCTGCGTTTTACTCGATCTCTCTGGTGTGAACTGATACTATGGAGTGATGTCCCGTGCCATGCCTTGGTGGAATTTAGTTTCTTCTTCATCCGCGTGTTCGCTCCCTATGCTGAGGCGGTACCCTGCAAATTTATATAAGAAAACGGGAGGGATTTGTGTCAAAATTTCCTCCGTAATTGCTCCTTTAGGCTACAGCTAAGGATGCTTGCCACAGCACACAATTAGGTAACTTATTTCTTGCGACCATGCTGCTTGGTGGGATCTAGGAGTCGTTGCAGTTGCGGGTTGGAACGTTGCCTTAATTATGATCTCGGTTCATTTATTTGGTCATGTTGTTTTTAGGGTAGAGTCATGTGTCGAGGAACTTTCTATAGCTTGCTTTGTAATTAAACATGTGGGTTGTTGATTAGTGTTTGTTGTACAGGTGGAGTGGTCCATTTCTGTTTAATGGTTAAAAGATCTTTTGTTGTTACATATGAAACTGGTGCTATGGTGGATTTGTGATTTTATCATACGTACTAGTTGCTAATTATTTGTTTTTCCTTGTTACTACCAATGTGCTGAACTATGCTCTACAAAAGTACTGAATGTGGCTTTAGTTGATTTAGCACCTTTATTTGGCAATTCAGTGGTGGCATCTCCAGCTAAGGATCATGTTGTTCCTCTTCTTTCTCGAGAACAACTGGTGAAGCAGGGACAAGCTATCCCCATCTTCCTTTCTTGGGGGAAAGCTCAGCTTTAGGAAGTTTTTTCTGTGCAAATTAGAGGCTGCTTGGAATCTTTGCCAAGCACTGTGTCTCCTTGCTGAGCTAGAAGTTGAAGTGGGCAAGGCGTTTGGATTCTTAGCAGCTACCTTGGGTTCTGCGTTAGCAAGGTTTTCCTTGCCCAGGCAGGCTAGCCAAATCGGCTCTCCTGGGCTGGCAAGGTTTTGCTTGCCCTAGGCTAGGCGAGGCTAGCTGACTCAGAAACCAAGCAGCCCCTTAACCTTTAGGCTTCCAGATATCTGTGTTTTTATGTGAATACAGAAGCCTAGGTTTTTGCTCCCTTTTTGAAGCCAGGATTTTATTTCTTACATGTTCAAGATGAAGTCTGGAGCTTCTGACTTGCTCAGTTTATCCTCTCCTTTTTTTGCATTTTATTGTTGGGTTGTGCATGCTGGGGTATGGTTGATATATATATTTTTTTCTATAATTGCAACTTCCAATATGGAGGCTGCATTTTTTTCTGGATGACCTATCCACCTTCATCTCCCCCCTCAAAATAAATGCCATTTTATGCCAATATTTGGATTTTGCTATGTATAAGGCTCGAGGAGTAATTGTGCAATTCTCTGCTGAGCTGGCATCTGTTTGTTTGGCTGCCTGTTCAATCTGGGCCTTGGGCCTATAAAACATAACCCAACTCAATCGCAGCCATATCCGTATGTAAGCCCAATGATTGAAGGAACCTATAAAACCTTCTAAACCTACTTCTAAATCTAGATCCACCTAGAAAAATTCCCCAACCATACACTCTAGATCCAATTCCCTAGCTCTTGAGAAGGGCGAAACCTGGAAAGTTGCCGTGGTGGGCGATGAAGGAGGATTTGCCGTGCGCGATGGAGGAGGATTTGCCGTGCGCGATGGAGGATTTGCCGGAAGTGATGGTGGAGGATGTGCCAGGGGCAATGGCGGAGGATTTGCTGGCAGGTTTGGAGGCGAAGTTGGAGGGTGTCAAGATCACAGAGGACAAAGAGGAGGCGATGAATGCACAGATCGTGAAAGATTATAATATGTGGATAGAAAATAAGCCATGCCTGGATGATCTTGTCATTACCCATACTTTGGAGTGGCCCTCTCTGACTGTGGAGTGGTTCCCTGATCGAGCAGAGCACCCTGGACAAGGTCAATCTGTCCCAAAGATTGTCCTTGGTACACATGCACGTGGTGACTTCCCTAACTATCTGGTGATTGCAGAAGTACATATGCCCTGGAAAGATTCCTTTTCTGAGCATTGTGCCAAATCGAAGAAGGTTCATCCCTGTGCCTGTGGACCATTTTCTTTTTTGTTTGTGGCAAATCGAAGAAGGTTTGGTTTATGCTGTGTCCCCCCTCTGGCTTGTTGGGCTTGTTAAGATATTTTCTAGGATTTGAATATTTCAAAGTATTTAATAATACTGGAGGATTAATACCATTTGCTTATGCTCCATTTTTCCTGTCTCTCCCAATATGCTTTTATAATATAATTTTGTCTCTAATATCCCAAACTAGTTACTTTTATTTCATGTGAAGTTGGAAGTGGATGATCATAGGTTCCCATCATGTGCCACCTGTTAATATTATTATTTTTGCTTCTATAAGCTCTAGAGGAATATTTTATTTATCCTTACACAATACCAATTCTATAGCCGAGTCTTAATATTTGGTTGAATTCGTACCACAGAACAATTCTAATTGTATAGTGCCACGGTTGCAGTGAGATTATCAGTTCTATTTATGGTGATTTTTATTGTCATGCTATTTCTAGTTGCTGCAGATGGCTTACATGCTGGGAGCCTGCATGAATACCTTTACACTTGGGTGATATACATCCTGTTGGTTTGGATTGTCTTTGCACAAAGGAATGTCATGTTGTGGAATATTTAATGATTAATTTCCATTGGCCGTGTGCCATTTTGAGAAAGCCTGGAACATTTGATTGGGTCTTTAATTGCTTGTTTGCTAAGTTGCCATTTTTACGTGGTTCTTGGTGCATGATTTTCCATAGGTGGTACTGCAAGGGTTTTTTAAACTCTTGCTACGTTAACAATCAATTTACGTATTTGACCGTTTCATCATCCTGTTGTATACTCATGTTTACTTTTCTTATATTTCATGGACCTTTTGATTTTGTTGCCATCTCAATCTAATGAAGTATTGGGTATGAGAATGTTCTCTTGATTTTGTTGCCAGTCCAATCTAATGAACTTCTTGGATATGAGAATGTTCTATTCTTTCATTTACCCCTGTAATTCTTAGCGCAAACATATACATTTGAGCATTTGCTTCCTCATTTTTTGTTACTGCCTGGCTGAGATCTTTAATGTTTACAAGTTTCTCTTTTGTGTTTGGAGACAATTTTTAGAACACATGTTCCCTCCCTTTTTGTAGGTGCAAATTGTTCAGCAGATAAATCATGATGGAGAGGTCAATCGAGCTCGCTATATGCCCCAAAATTCATTTATAATTGCTACCAAGACAGTTAGTGCAGAAGTATATGTCTTCGACTATAGCAAGCACCCATCTAAGCCTCCACTAGATGGTGCATGCAACCCTGATTTACGGCTGAAGGGACATAATTCTGAAGGATATGGCTTATCATGGAGTATTTTTAAAGAGGGTCATTTGTTAAGTGGGTCTGATGATGCTCAAATTTGCTTGTGGGACATTAAAGCAAATAGTAAAAACAAAAGTCTTGATGCCCTGCATATTTTTAAGGTATGGCTCATGTGCCTGGTTCTATTTTGTGTGTTAATGTTTGGAGCTTCATGTAGAACTTTGTTTAAAGCATTCTTCATTCTCTAACATTCTAATGGTTATTTTAGAACTCTGAATCATCTCTTTAAAGGTGCATGATAGTCATACTTGGATTAATAAGACAAATTAGTGGAACTAATACAGTTTCTCTTGTATGCTGATTTGATTTTTTTGGTAATTAAGAAAACTATGACAGAATGTGTTCTTGCTAAATAGCTGATTGGAAAACTAAATGTTCTTTCTCTGACGAGTATGAGTAGAAAAACTATCTGTATCTGTCACTGAAACCTGGAAACTCTATTTTGCAATCTAGGGATTTCAATCTCTCATCTGTTGTTTCTTATCCACAGTGATGCAAGCTTCATAGAAATACTAATGCTATTTAATAATACTAATACTTTGATTTTATTCTTGGTAAGCATCATGATGGTGTCGTTGAAGATGTTGCTTGGCATTTGAGGCATGAGTACTTATTTGGGTCAGTTGGTGATGATCATCATCTTTTGATTTGGGACCTCACGGTCTCCAGCGCCTACTAAGCCTGTTCAGTCAGTGGTGGCACACCAGGGCGAGGTAAAAGTAACTGTTGTGAGCTTTTAATTACCATTAGAAATATTGATATTATTTGCTACTCAAAATACATTTTATTCCATGGTTACAAATTTTAAGATTTCTTTTGTTGCATGAAGTTAGGATCTGGTTGTCCTTAAATGAAGGAGAAGTACTGTATGCAATGCGAACTAGTTTTTCCAGATCGATTTACTCCATTATGATCTTGAAGGAACATTTGATCTATCATACATTCTATCATTTTGTTACACCTTTTTTTTTTTTTTTTTGGGTCAAATAGAACACATGCTTCAACATCTTTACTTTGGTTCTCCAGATCTGATGTCATATTGGTGGATTGTATTGAACTTGAACACTACAAAGGTTTAGGTTTATACTTGTCTTTATATAAGCAGCATTTTTTGGGAACTATATGCTTCTATGGCTGTATAAGTCAGGGTATAGGAAACCTTGGTCCTGATTTCTTTGGGTGTACAAACTAGAGGTAAATGAAAACAATTTGGTGTTGAAGATGTTCTAAATTTTAGGGTAGTAAGATCAGAACCCATCAGTGCATCTGAAAGCCAGTGGCGGTGGGACTTTATTGAACCTTGCTCTAAGTTCGTGATTCCTGAAAGATCAATGACAAGATTCTTGTTTATTGACGCTTGCTTCTTTATTTACAGGTGAACTGCCTGGCTTTCAACCCGTTCAACGAATGGGTTGTTGCAACTGGTTCTACTGACAAGACTGTCAAATTATTTGATCTTAGGAAGATTGATACTTCTCTGCACACCTTTGACTGTCACAAGTATGTTTCCGCTGTTTTTGTTCTGTTGATAGCTACTGTTTGTTTTTATTGCCTAAACAACTTTCTGAAGTATTGAATGTTTCTATGGATGTTATATTTCTATTTTAACATTAATGTTTCAACACCATGTGTAATCAGAGAGGAAGTTTTTCAAGTTGGATGGAGTCCAAAGAATGAAACTATACTTGCATCCTGTTGTCTGGGCAGAAGACTCATGATCTGGGACCTAAGCAGGTAAGCAATACAAACATTCACGATACTCTCATATGTTGTTACCCTTAGTTTTCTTTTCCACTGGTGCGCTGTATCTTCTGGACGTTACTACTTCCTCTGTCCCAAATTATAAGACGTTTTGACATTTCTAGATTCATAGCTTTTGCTATGTATCTAGACATAATATATATCTAGGTGCATAGCAAAAGTTATGAATCTAGAAAAACCAAAACGTCTTATAATTTGGAACGGAGGGAGTAGTCCTTATGATGGCCAAAGCGATGTGTTTTTTACGATTTTTTCTATGTTGTCCTAGTGCTCCCTACATTACTTATTGTTGAAGTACAATTAACACGATACGGTTCGGATTAACTATTGTTCTTTGCTTTGCTATATCACAGGATCGACCAAGAACAAACGCCAGAGGATGCAGAAGATGGTCCTCCAGAGCTCATGTTCATCCACGGAGGCCATACCAGCAAGATCTCTGATTTCTCCTGGAACCCCTGCGAGGACTGGGTGATTGCTAGTGTCGCTGAAGACAACATCCTCCAGATATGGCAGATGGCTGAGAACATCTACCATGACGAAGATGATCTGCCAATAAGCGATGAGCCGGCAAAGACATCTTGAAGCTCCACAACGCAAAAGGAATCTTAACTCCATCGACTGTTGGTGCTCCTAGATCGGAACCCTGCTGGCCAGTGTTGGCCAAGAATCTTAACCGAGTGAGTTGGCTGTTGGTGGTTGCTTCCGTGGTCGTAACTTTATGCTTGGACGGGTTGGCCGTTTCTTCTACTGTTTGTATGTTACTAGTCGAACCTTGAGCGTCGTTATACATATGCCGATTGACTAGATCTGTTCGTCGCAGTTGTCTTAGTCTTAAATTTGTTATGCTGGGGGCTAGGAATCTCTACGTCTAGTGCGGGTTTGGTCGAGATCAAGCAATATGTTTTTGTGGGCATGGCGTGTCAAGTAGTAGAGGCCTGTTGATCACTGCTTGCCTTGCAAGCATCAAAGGTCGCGTGCCATTTGCATCGATGATCCCGGGGTCATATGATCATATCATGTCGGAATCGTACTTGTACGCGACAATGTCTTCGTTCCAAACGGGCATATATGCTTGCTGCCGGCTACTAGTCTGACATGCCCAACAACAGGAGGTTACATGGGTCAGCAACTGATTTGCTGATTTTTGTACTAATACCGATTCTCTTCCGACCTTCTCAACCTCTTCTTCTCCCTCTCTTAGACAAACCAGAGAAATACCCTGCGTGTTGCTTTTCGAAATCTGTAAGTCAATTAGATGTAAGTATTCTATACAAAAACAAACATAAAATCGATTACAAATTAAATGTTTTACACCTCGATCTGAAAGGATATAAATTTTTTCATGCAGTAATTTTTTTTTTCTGAGGAAGCCGAGGATATGGATTAGTAGAAGATGCAAAGAACTTGGGTTGTGTAGGTGATAGCTCCAGTGATAGAGGATGATACACATTACATGCTAATTAGGAGAATGACAATGGCCATGACAGCTGACCTTTTTGACTACAATGCTATCCCAACCTGTACCTTCATGTACCACCTCTGTCCAACCGGCCATGCCAGCGACTGCCTCAGCAACACGGACGGTCATCATCAGATGATTGCAGTATAGGCATAAAACCTTCCGCTTCTGCACATCTGGATGCTGTTGCCTTGTTCGCGCCGGGCACCAGCCACCAAGTACTGCTACTGGGATGGGCTTCGCTCTGGTGTTGATCTTGTTTCATCAATATCTTGCCTTCTCGGTAGCCATGCATGTATCAATCGACGGGCTGCTGTGAATGGTTGGGTCAGGTGTATGGTTTGACCATGCTTGCTCGTAGTTTTATAGGAGTAGCACAGGGGGGAAATGGCGAGGTTTTTCATCAGTTTCAAAAGTAGAGTTAAATGCAGTCTTCTTGGCTTTTGCTGAATGGAGGCTTAGTGGGAAGCCGTTTTAGGATAAACAGCCTGTTCGCTGGTTGGTTTCTAGGCTGATAAGTCCGACTGATGCTGGTTTGTTGTGAGAGAAAAACACTGTTGGCTGACTAATAAGCCCTGCCTGAAACCAACAAGCGAACAGTCTGATAGAATTGATACGGCAATTCATTGCACATTTGCTGCGCACGCCAGAAAGGTGAAGCGGCAAAAACTGCACATTTGCATGTGCACACACGGGAAAGGTGAAACGGCAAAAGGTTGGGTAAATGCAATTTTTTTTTCCATCGACAATCAAGCTCTGCATGCATGAATATGATGATGACGTGGCTGCATGAGAAGCCTGGAAAATCCTTTAGTAGGGATATCCTTTTTAGGTGTAGGAGATTTCGTAGGGAGTAGGGGGGGCACGTCAATTATGCCAACCATTCCTGTGTCCGGCTGATGCGAACGCGTTTTAGCAGCAGCTGATTGCCTAATTATGCTTCATATGCACTTTTTTTTTGTGGATTCATCATTTTGAGATGATTACGTCCTGCTAATCCCTTCAACATCCTGTCGCATGGTGATGGCCGCGCATTGCATGGGAACTGCGGAGGAGTGCTAGTGTATCCATGTCGCCCGTTCGGAGGAAGTTTAAGCTGAGGTGTGAGACAGTCTCCGAGATTGGAGTTTTTGCAAAAGAAAATAAGGATTTTATCATTGTCATATCGTGGACGTGGAATTAATTTATTTATCGGTTTGTTATGTCCATAATTCCAAAACATACGAATCCACATCACAAATACAAAGTAGTGTAACACATGTAACACGCGTAATTAACGAGAGACTTGATGCAGTAGTGGTTGACCATTCAACTTGCATGATATACATGTATGTATAGTATATAGTATTATTCCGCACGTACAAGTCTTTATCTCACGAAACATGTGTACGCAAACGTGTAAACAGTTCCGACAAGATGAAGCATCCTATCATGAACATGATAAGCTACTTTTACGAGCTTAAACAACGTAGATGTACGTACGCACGAAAAGCTTGTTAGTTAGGCAACGGCACAAGCTGACCGCCTTTACAACGTCCCTTTTTTATTTCCTTCAATTATTCCGTGGATTAGAGTTGGAGGCTTGAGAGAACCGGCTACCTAGCTAGCTAGCTTGCCGGCACTTTGAGAATGGACACGACGACAGGCTGCTAGCTGGCACAGCTCGCTTAGCTTAATTGTAATCATCATTTTCATATACAATGCACAATGCAGGCGTATGCACGTGTGCCGTGTGCGCCGTCTGTTTTTTTCTTTCTTTTATGAAATCCCATGGAAGGGAAGAGCAGGCAATGCAATGCAGTGTCGGCAGGAGGGCTGCCATGCAGAGAGAGAGAGAGAGAGAGAGAGAGAGAGAGATCCACCCACAAACAATGCAATGAATGAATATTCCAACTCGTCCTGAATCAGGGCCTGTGAATAAATCGTTTCTCCTCTCTGGGAGTCTTGATAATTTGAAGAAATCCATGGTGAATTGAATTCAACATATATATGGAACTACCTAGCTACCAGGTTTTGGTCAAAACACATTGAGATATATGGCCAGAAAACCCTACGAAAACCTGTAATATATATACACCACAACCGTACGCCGATGGAGTCCAGGTGTTAATCTTTATTCTCTTTTTTATCTTTGCCGCAAATCTACAGCCTTTTCGCTTGGTCGTATTTAGCTTATAAGCCATGTCTTATCAGCCAATGAACATTATTTTTTTTTCACACTAAGCCAGCCAACAATACTTTCAGTCATGACTTATAAGAAAAAAAAGTTTGACTGTCTTTGTGTTAAAGTAGACAAAATATTCGTTACGAGACGCCTTAAGGGCACACTAGAGTGAATGAAGATGCACACTAGGAGAGGACACGAGAGAATCTAACAGCTGTGCTCCGTACTCCACGAGAGTACGAGCATATCTGCACATGAGGTACAACAAGCCCCGCTGCACTAGCACTGGTTTCCTCACGTGTCGAAACCACGTGAACAGTGAGCTCCAGATCCAGCGCCGACGGCCTTCCTTCGTTCGCCCGCGAGAGCGACAGCGCCCGGCGGGGCCGCCGCGCGACGTGCGCTCGACAGCAAGGACAGGCGCCCATTATTCCATTAACCGCGGCGTGTACGGACTACAGACGCCACGCCGCGCCCGCCGTGACCCCGGCAAGGCTCAAGAGTCAAGGCCCTCACGCGCACGATCGCGGCCAGGCCCGCCGCTGTCTCTCTCGCCATCCAGGGAGCGCCGGCATGCCGCCCGCACGCGCCGCTGGGTGCTCCGTCTCCATGACAGCCGGAGCCCGCGCCGACAGCGTGGCGTCGGGGCCACGTGTGCGCGCCGCGGACTGCGAAAGCGGAAGCGGAAGCTTCGTCGTCGGGTGCGTCCGTCCGTGCGTGCGCGCGGTGAGCGAGGCCTACCACGCCCACATGGCCACACCCATGACCAGGTGCCCACCCATGCGATCCGATCCAGCGGAGCACAGCGTTCGGCGCTTCCTGCCACCTTCCCGTCGCCTGGCCCCGTGCCACCCGCCGATACAGACTCCTGACGCCCAGGACGCTAGCTGTCCTGTCCGGCGCAGCCCTTCACGGACGGCAGAGCGTGCGCGCCGCGGCCACGTCGTGCGGTGCGGGGGAGGGGAGCGATAGCCTGCCTGCTCCCGCCATTATAAAAGGCCTCGAGGTAGTCGATCGCAGCAGCAGTCGCAGTCTCACTCTCACACATCACGAGCTATCTCGAGCTCCAATTACTCTGCCAGCCAAGCTACGTGTTCCCACCCTTGTCTTTGCTGCTTGAGATGGAAGCGTACGCGGCAATGGCGTCGCCGCCGCCCACGAAAGCCGCCATGGGCGGCGTGGACAAGCTCAGCTACGAGATCTTCTCCCTGCTCGAGAGCAAGTTCCTCTTCGGCACCGGCACGCCGGCGCGGGCGCTTCTGGACGGCGGGCGCGTGCGGGTGCTGGCGATCGACGGCTGCGGCAGCACGGGCGCCGAGGACGCGCTCCTGGCCGCCGCCGCGCTCGCGAGGCTCGAGGCCGGGCTGCGCGACCACAAGGGCGACCCCGACGCGCGCGTGGCCGACTTCTTCGACCTCTCGGCGGGCGCCGGCGCGGGCGGAGTGCTCGCGGCGATGCTGTTCCTGAGGGGCGCCGACGGCCGGCCGCGGTACACGGCCGACGAGGCGCTCGCGTTCGTGGCTGGGAGCGTCTGCGGCGGGAAGAAAGGCGGCTGGGGAGGCCGGCGCTGGCCTCGGTGGGCGAAGCTGTTCCGCGGCGCGCGGGCTGGCGACGACCGGTCGTTCCGCCGCGTGTTCGGCGACGCGACGCTCAGGGACACCGTGGCGCCGCTCCTCGTGCCGTGCTACGACCTCGCCACGGCCGCGCCCTTCGTGTTCTCGCGCGCCGACGCCGTCGAGAGCGACAGCTTCGATTTCCGCCTCCGCGACGTGTGCGCCGCCACGTGCGCCGCGGGCGGCGCGCTCGCGAGCGTGGCGTCGGTCGATGGCGCCACGGCCATCGCCGCCGCGTCCGGGGGAGTGGCGGCCATGGGCAACCCGGCCGCGGCCGCCATCACGCACGTGCTCCACAACAAGCAGGAGTTCCCCCTCGCCACCGGCGTCGAAGACCTCCTCGTGC